AAAAAAAAAAAAAAAAAAAAAAAAAAAGGTTTGTAACATATTAATTATTTATTCTTCCTTCTTGTATTCAGACAGAGTCATATTCAGGATGAAAACCACACAGCTAAATCATACAAACAGCATGTCCTTCTTGGTTCCAGATACAAAAAACTGAATACTGAGGTTGTGAACAAAGGGTGCTAAAAAGCTTACAATTGCTTCAAATTTAAATACTTGATTTTTCCAATTCAGAGGTGGCTTAATTTTATTTTGTAAAAAATATGACTTTTTGGTTAGTTGGGAGGATTTTTTGGGCCCAAACTGTGCTTCTTATTATTGGATATTTAAGTAACATGTAAAGGTTTTAGGCATTGCTGTGGTCTGACTGCAACTCTCAAAATTCATATGTTAAAACTTTATCACCAATATAATAGAATTATGAGAGGAGGCCTTTATGAGTAATTTAATCATGAGGGCAGAGCTCTCATGGATAAGACTGGGGACCTCATAAAAGGGCTTGAAGGAGTGGGCTTATTCCTTTCCATCTCTTCTGCCATGTGAGGACGCAGGGTTCAAGATGCCATCTTGGAAGCAGAGAGTAACCTTCACCAGACACTGACTCTGTCCATGCCTTTCTCAGACTTCCCAACCCCCAGAACTGTAAGAAATAAATTTCTGTTCTTTATAAATTATCAGTCTCAGGTTTTTTTGTTACGGCAACACAAAAAGACCAGTATATGCATAACACATATCAGATTCATGATTTTGTCCCATGCTCTGTTTAACAAAGGAATAGGTAAAGAGATCTTTAAAGACATTTACATAGAAATTTTGTAACCCTGCAATTGAACCATGAATGTAAAAGTCTTGAGAAATGATATTTTCTGAATATCTGCTTATTTTAAAAAGGTTAGATAGGAACGTGTGTGTTTCATAAACAGAGGTCTGCCAATGTAAGGTAGAGATGAAAGACTAGCTCAACAGTCAGATAACCTGAATTTAAATATTAGTTCTCCTTCATAGGTCAAATAACTTAATTCTCCATGTTTTGCTTTTCCCACCTATAAAATGAACATCACAACTTTTAGAGCATGGAGCTGTTACTGAAAATTAAAGAGAAAAGCATGCAAAGACTTATGACAGTACCTGGCACACAGTGAGTACCCCACAAAAAGTCAACCAAAAGAAAATCTACCACAACACAATCTCAAATACTGGTGCAAATACCTAATTGCAAGCTAATTGTCCAAGGTTGTACAGCTGGAATTCAATGCCAGATATGTCTGAGTCCAACTCATTTGACTACACCATACTATATTATAATGATCATTTATTGTCTCAGGACAAAGCTTGGGAGATGCTTAAGTAAAGCTGAGACAAAAAGCTAAAGGCTTTCCCTTTCTAGGTTAAAGTGTGTTATCTTCCATATTATTTTTGTACCCCACAGCAATTAACTGTACCAAGGATAAGTGCGAAGAAACTACTAAAATGATTTTGAAGACAGATGTCACATACCTAATATCAAATGTTAAAATAGCATTTACTCAATTCTGTGGCAGTGAGCTACTTTTATTAGAACAGAAAATGGGAAAGCAAAAGTGGCTTTCTCAACTAATTATGGGCATGTTAAATCACACCGACTATAATATTGGAGATACCTACAAAGAAAGGTGCCTGTTTGGATCCAATCAGATATTTTGACCACTATACTCATAAAGCAACTGCCTTGAAATATCATCCTGCTAAAACTCTAGGTTCATACTTTTAACATATAAAATTGAATAATCATATTAGACATTAAATATATACATAGTATTTTCATTTTTAATGCATACCTGATTAAAGCTTGCAGAATGCATTTATTATGTGGAATCTTGTAAAACATCTGAGTTTTTAAGACTGATTAATTCTTAATAACTGAGGTTCCACTTTTAAGGGTCCTAAAGTAATCACTAACATATTTTTTTTCGTGAATTTATTGTTTGCTCTGTAATAGAATTATTCATATTGGAACTCTGTAGGAGTTTTGGGCAGCTATTTTGTAAGCAGAGTTAAGCCAGATTTTGGTAATTTGCTGGAATTTTTCATATTTAACATTTTTGTAAAACATTCTTATCTGTAAATCCAACTTTCTTTCCTTCTATATCTAAAGAAGAGTCTTATCTTTACCAAGCAGTGAATCATGTGAAAGAAAAATCATACATTGTAAGTGAAATTTTTTTTGAGAAGTTAAGAAAAAGTGCTTATACAAATGCAATGTGTCATATAAATACTAATTTCTCCAAAATTGTCAGAAAATCCAGTTAAAACAAATATTTTTGTTACTAAAAGTTACCATATAAAGCACACATGCTTTATCTATCAATGTCAAACAATTACATAAAAAAGACTCACACCCTAACATATGGGAAGTAGTTTGGGATCGTTTCACGCCTCAGTATCACCATTATGCCTTTTTACCATCATGATATAGAGCTGGATGAAAACACACATTATTTGAGCTCTAAGGTTGACTCTCTTCCAGTTAGAGGGGGCTAATAGGATTGTTATTTTTATCTTGATCCTCACCAGGTTTCTGATGTTCTGCCTAGATCCCACTGTGGTATATTTAGCACTAGCTCTTCCTGCAGGAGCCTCGGCCACGTGGAATCACGCTTTCACACCCCCCTCACTACTGCTGAATACATAATCTAAGCCCTGAAACATAGTTTCTAAAAGATTCATTTCCACTCACAGAAGTATGGGTGAAAATTTTCCTAATGTGCTTTGACTTACCAAGTGAAGTTTATTAAACCTTGTCAGAAACCATCTGACTTGCTAAATACACACAAATGCATACATACACATTTCTGAAACACAGTAAAAAATCTTCATTAAAAAAGAGGAAGTATTTTAAGAGAATAGATGAACAGTGCGTTATTTTAAATGTCCCTCTAAAGATAACACTTACATGTGTGTTTGGTTTGTAACAAAAGCAGCCCAATAAATGTGACCAGACATATATTTCACTCAAATGTTGCTATGGAATCCTTCCCTGACTTGAAAATTAAATTTCTCCATCTGTTTGCATGACTTCGTATTCATTGTAGTGACAAGGGCCAGCTGATCTAACAAACATGCCATAGAACAAATTCCTCAAACCAGAAGAAAAAAAACAAGTGTGAAGTAGAGCAAATAGCATGAGAAACCATATATTTCTGAAAGATTCACTCTCTGAAAGGCACATTAATGTTGGTAAAACAGGTGGCTTTGTTCAGGGGTATATTCTTACATGGGCAACTAATTATATAAACTTCTCAATAGTGTAATGAACATTACCTGTGTAGGAAATGCTGTAAAACCAAATACTGAATTGTATTAAGACAGTAACAAAGGGGGATTTAACGGACAATTTAGAACTGACTTGGGCTAGATTTTAAAAGTACCAAGAAGAAAATAAACCATATTAAAAATACTGAATGTATTCCATATAATGTTCTATTTGTAAAACCAACTTAAAGATTCTTCAATAAAAACAGAAGATTATGATACAGATGATGCATTCAATGTTAGTTTTAACTTATCTAATTATAATGTAATTCATGTTAGCAAGTTTCAGAATTTTCAGACTACAAGCCTATTCCAATTAATTCCAATTATCTGAGTAATTTTATATTTACAGGGTTATAAATATAAAACATCAATTTATAAATGTATCCACCCACATACATTTTATGATACTCATATATGCTTATTTATATTAGCAACTCTACATTTATCAGATTATATAAATTATTAATAATTTAATTGCATACTCCCAGTAATACCGACCTTGTTTCATTAAAATGAATTTGATGTACCAAAAAAAAGTAATTGATGAAATATAGGCCACTGAAAAGTCTTTGAAAGTAATTTCCTTTAAAACATTTAATAAAATTTTAAATCCATATAATTAAATTCTATTCCTAAAGAGAAACCAGCAGATGTTATTAGCTCATTGTGTTTATCCTCTTCAAATATATTTTGTTCTCAAGTAGTTTTTTAATTATTTGCTCATATCACATTTATAGGGTTTGTTTTCTTCTCTGACTTGCAGGCAGTTTTATTTAAGGACGGGTGTTCCTTCCCCTAGCACACTAAGAAGTTCTAAGAGCAAGAACATTATTGTGCCTTACCTAAATGTTCGCTAAAATGGCTTATCCATCTTTAAATTCTCCCACATTAATTAACCTATTTTCTTACAATTAAGTATCTGTTTGCTGATTAGCTTTAACACATAGACTCATACTAAATTTTCCCTTTGAAGACATTATGCTTCAGGTACTCAGAAAATAAAATTTTTAAAGAGGGTATAAACTTGAACTTTAGCATCATTTGGAGAAAACACTATCTAATAAACAAAATAATAAATCTTATTTGAGAATTTTAGGATAATGAAAACTAAGTCATTTTTTAAAAAATATTTCTTAGCAAACAAGGTTATAAGAGTCAATCCAGCTGTCTGAAAATATTTAGAAATAGAATCATTCATTCTGGTAAAACTGCTGACCTATTTTCTATGCTTGATGAATAATCTAATTGTATTTCTCTATACTTACCATTATTTTTCCATCATAAACTTATCTCAAAATGCCCCAGAGATATAATGTAACTGATGTGAATAATTACTAGAAAGGAATTTAATAGAGTATTATAATCTTGGGAACAATCCAGCCGTGAGCCAATGCTTTTTAAAGTTCCAAGCTAAAGTTGTTCTAGACAAGTTAGGCTTGGGGTGCATTCTTGTACACTTGGAGGGCTTTCTTTGCATTGTACTTTCTATGCCAACTCTCTCAGACCCCTTGGAAATAGAGTCAGGCAACAGAGAATGTTTTCATGTACGACCAAAAGACTGGCCTCACTGTAAAAAGGTCATTTCCAAAAATAATAAGCATGGGTAGCTAAGAAAAATTATTTTAAGGAGAGTGATTAAATAAATATAAGAAGGATATTTTGTCAAAAAGTTTTAGGACAATAAATTAGCAATCATCATGCTATTTCTGTAAACATTAATAAAATTGTAACATTTTTCAGATAGCCAAATATTTAATTCATTGGCCCCTATTTCCTTAATATTATAATAAATAACTTTTTTCATGTGCTCCAAAGTAGCAGCAAAAGTAGACTGGGTAAACATTTGCTGTATCTATTTCTGTAATCCATCTCCCACATTATATATACAAGTTAAAGCTTCAAGACTGTGGTTAATTTTAAGCCTAGTCAAGATGGCAGCACACCCACGTTCCCAGGCTTAAAATATAGCATCTTTCATAA